TAACGGAAGCTCTTAATAATGCAAGTTTCAGATTACGTTCTGCGTTCAACCGCTTCAGTTTAAAGATCTAGTTTAAAAAAAAAGTTAAAGTGATAAGCTGAACCTAATTACGGTGAATTTTATTGCTTTAAATAAAAAAAAAATAAAAACTTTTTGTTATTGCATATAACTTTATTATAAAACCCGCATATTTAAAGTTGCCATCTAAATCTTAATGCTATAAATAACACAACTCTTCTTCTTCTGCCTTAGTCTAAGGATTAAACGTCGAAAGCAGCTAGTTTAATTGTTAGTTCATTATTAATTCTACTTAAACCTCGAACTTAGCGCGCTTTATGCGTGGAAAGTAGCTTTAAAAAGTTTCGATCTGTATTTCTCCTATATTGTCTTTTGAAATGTATTTCGGTAAAAAATCAAATGGTACGCAAGAGGGGTGGTCTAGAAAGATTAAAATAATATTCATAATCAAGAGATTTTTAAGCGCCTGAAAAAATACAGCGAAATATACATCAGCGAAGGTATCCGGTCAAAGTTTCAATATTAACATCTATCATGTATCTATCTACCATCTAGCATCATCTATTGAAGACTGACGCATAGCCAAGTAGTTAAGGAGTACGATTATCAGTCGGCATACCCGTATTCAATCGCACTGGCAAAGAAGATCGAGTATACACCTACTATCTCTCTCTTTCGGCAATCACTGAGTTACATGTGTAGTATTCCGTGTGGTTTGCACAAGTGGTTGTAGAAGTATGTCCCAAAACAAACTTGATTTTTGAACATAATGTAAACGCTCTGCTAGGTTCATAATGTAGTACAACTGTCCCGGTGTAAATCGCGCGGTTCTAGCGAAACGAGCAGCCTTAACTTCTTCCTTCGCAGCATCAGGCATCACTTAAAAATACAAGCGAGTACCTTTAGCAGCTAATGGTATACTTTTTTTTATTTTCACCTAAAAAATGCAATGTTCTACTTAGTGTCTATAAAACTGCGGCTATTCGGTGGTTTCTTGCTTTCGAAAATAGAATTAACATTAAATCACCTAAGAAAAACAGGGTATTTATATAGAGGAGACTGCCTGTAGCACGGTAGATTCGTTCTGGATTACATATATCCGTGCCATACAAGTCACTTAGATTATACAAATACAATTTTTATGGCCGGGAATGATTAATAACCATTTTTTTCACAAGAACAAGTATGTACTATTATATTTTTTCAATCTTTTCTTTTATGGACTTTCGATATATTAATTATTGGAGCTAAAACGTAATAAAATCGTAACATCTATTTCATGCTAATACTCCGCTGTACAAGCCGCTTTTAGTGCGTTATAGAGACAGGGTTATAATTTTTTCGTCGTATTACGCGATTTCATTCATTCATAATGCGTTTTATGCACATTTGTCTAAGTTACAAACAGAGAGCCAAACTCAGTACGCCTTAATGGTTTAGTGAAGAGTAAATAAGGGAAATGGAAATATGTCTGCTTTTATGAAACTGTAACACAATTCAAGATAAAGAATGAAAGGAAACACGCTAGAGCTAGATTTTAACGCATTTTTTTCTTTTCGAAAGAACAGCAAAACGAAAAACGAAATGTTGCATAAAAGAGAAAAACAACAAAACCAAACATTCAAACATTGCAAGGAAATTTCCACCAGCTTAACTGCTAAACTGTCACTACATTTTAGAAAATGTGTCTGAATTTATAAAATACGTGTAAGACGTAGCCGATGTTATAAACATTTAAAATTTTGAAGAAAACCAAGTCGGGCAAGACCAACCATTAATAAATTCCGCCACATTGTCTAACACAATTCTTATTTTTATTATAGAACACAAAAATTATGTTCCTATATAATGGAATACTTTTTCAAGTGCGTATTTATGAAGAAGTGGACCCAAAACGCAGCATACATAGGGAAGGATCTAAAAATAGACGTAGATGGACCACATATTAAAACTTAGACCTTTCTGCTCTACAAAGGGCCAATTTTCGTAAAACCCTTGTTAGGGTAGGATTTTTTGTAGGTTTTTTATGTTGAGTTACTATTATTATATACTTTTTTTCCACCTGAGTAGCCGAAGGCGAGGAATCTCGACTAGCAAGTCAATGGTCGCGGGTTCGAATCTCAAACGCGGTAGAGTTTTTAATAAAAGCCGCCAGCCTTAGATATGCTAGTGCTTTTAAGAATTTAGCCTTAGAATTTATTTCTATGACAAAATTAATAATAATAATAATAATAATAATATGATATACTTTGTTTCATGAAGCATTGAAAATTATGCATTTTGTCATGTGAACTTCAGTTTTCGCTATATGTGAGAAGGAAGGACTCAGCCGGTCCAAAGTTTTCATATCAATTTGGAATGTGAAAACGCTACTACTTAACCACTTTTGCCTGGAAATTTTGAAAATTACAATTTTTTCCCATATAATGACTTTTCAGAATAGGGCGCTGTGTGGGGATCCGATCCATTTTCAATGGTGTTCCTCCTTGGGTCAAAACACGTCACTACACCAAATTTCATCGAAATATCTCAAAAATTGCGACAGACCGGCCTTCTCCGCGTTACACACAATAATAGTAAGTTGTACCGCAAGTGGTGTAGGGTATAAAATATAAGCGGAGAAGAAATTAAAACTTAAAACCCAATTTCAGCTAATCGCGCATGGACTAGATCAGTGCTACAAGTATTGGAGAGTACTCAAAATCTCAAAATCTTCTGGTCTGGCTTCTGCTTGTGCCGTGGTAGATGCTTCAGGACAAGTTCTTCTCAATCACATCTTTCACGAAAGTACTTCAACTTCCACAACCGAAGCCAGAGCAATCTTTCACGTTGCGAACCTTGTCCATAAAAACAAACTCAAAACCGTCATTGTTACCGAGAGTTTGTCTGTATTACAAGCTATTCGGGTCCTTCGACTTCGAGATAGAGCACCGTCAACAAATTAAGGAATATAATTACAACACCCGAGGGAAAGACTAACCGTTTGGACATTCTAAAATCAGCTTCAGAACCGAATATCAATTCTATATATTACTTTATTAAAACTAGTAAGCTCAATATGTAATGGACATTTATATAAATTGGAGCCGATGGCCTGTGTTGCCAGTGGTCAATGTCTTTTTTTTTAGTCTAAGAATTTATTTCATTAGTCTAAAATTATAATAATAATAATAATAATAATTGTCATTTCTAGACATTTGTTTGAAGATTTCTCTTTTATGTCTATCGCTGCCTTTTATCTTTCTCCGGAAACCGCGAATCAAGTCAATTTTTCATTGGATTCACAACATACAAAAATACAAGGGCAGGGAACTCACAAAGTTTGTTTTCTTTATTGAAATCGGATTCTTAAGTCAGGCCATTTGCTTGTTTGATGTAACCATCCTAAGTGTTGGGTATTTGGAATAGAAAGAAATAAAAGTGATTGTACAAAATATTAAACTACAATGTAAACTTCAAAATGAATATTATCTAGTCACGCTATGTAAAATTTTTTTATTATACATTTAATTCACAATCTATCTAAAAAGATGGCAAGTTAGCGTTAAGGGAATTTGAGGAAATAATGGAAACAACATGGCAATACGCATACGACGTTTAAATAAATAAAAGGAAACTCTATAGAAAGTTAGAAAATTCATCAAAAATAAAACATAAGGAAGAAAATGAAATTAATATCCAAATTGAATATCCAATATATGATGTGTTTTCAATCTTTTTATCTTATTATATTCGTTTAGAAGAAATATTGCTGAAGGATTCATACTGACAAGATATATTGCAGAATCCCCTTAAATTAATTTTTAATACATAGAATATCCGGGTCATAGTGAGTAGTTTTGTTGTAAAAGATCCAAGGATTATTACCAAAAAGGCGAAGAATCATAGAATGATATTGTTACGGAAATACTAAATCCTGTACGAGGCAAAGCGTAATTTACTCGTTCGGAAGGAATTAGAAAAATAATAACATACAACGATGACTTTTCTTTTAATGCGTATATCAAACTTACATCTGAATATGATCTTTTCATTAAAATCGCTTCGAATTGGTGGTAATACGAATGAAAAAAAACTTTGAGTGCAAAGGGTTAATTACTCTCGCCCGTTAATTAAGTCGCCAAATTTGTAAGAAGCAATTGCATGTAGCAAATTTGTCAATGTTGTATTGCTTACAAACAATTTGACCCCTTAGAAAGAACTCCAAACTTAATCCTATTACTTTCCTTGAGAACGAAATCGATCCAAGGTATATATTTCTTCACTTGTGCTGAGCCAATAAAAATGCGTCAACGTCTTAAAATATCAAATACTTTTGCAACGTATAGCTAAGTTTGAAATGAAAATAATTTTCCTTTAAATGAAAATCGACTTAATTTAAACAACTCCAGTTATTTCATGTCTTATTTTGTCGCCGTAAATGCAATTCATATGCTGTCGTTATCAAACACCAATGTCAGCTCCAAACTATTTGCCCTCTGACTAAAGCCCACGAATTACATGATGAATTTATCATATTTGAATCGACGAAACGTTATAGAAGAATTTAATAAAGGCATATTGATATTTGCAGCCGCTCTAAATATTCATCAACGAAAAAATGTATGTCTAGACTTGGTGTTTGAGGAAAAATTGAACAAAGCGGCATTTGAAATTGTTTTTTTCGCGATGAAATTTGTTTACTTTCTTTTACTTTTTTTTATTTAAAGCAATTCAAACCCTTGTTTTATACATACTATAAATAATCGGATCTGTGCTGCTCTTTTTCATAACAATACCTTTAAATTCATTTAAAAAAGGTTTCATTGCAACATAAGAACGACTTCTTAGCAGCATTTAAAGATTTCGTCAAGAAAGCGTAAAGTTACGTAGTTTGTATACAGCAATCGATGTTTTGAATTCGTAATACTATTGCAATATTTCAAGCATGAAAAAGCAGACAGAAATATCGCAAACTCTATTGAAGAAGAATTTTTGTTTATTTTATTTATTTATTTTTTTTTTTGTTTCTATTAAAACTGAAAACATGCCTACCTATGGGCTTTTAGCAAAAACTAAGATTTGTAATCGTGTATATTTGCTACTTCTTAAGTCGATCCCCTAAAAAAACAAATATTCTATGAAATTTAATTTCGGTTTTAAACTTCTTCTCCTAATAAAATTAATTTTATTTTCACTCATTAGAATATTTCCTTTGATCAATAATTTGAATTTTGTCGCATTGCTGGTAGCTTTAGTTTTTTTAACAACTTTGAAGATAATCGAAAGATACACACAATAGTCATTAAAGGCAAAGTTTGTTGATCTAGCTAAGCCAAAATCAACGTATTTATATAAAGTGTCATTAGAAAAGATATTATCGTATCGCAACTGTTATTACCACCATTTAGTAGCTTAATCAACAGGTTTTTAGCAGGCTATTCGTACACTTGGGAGGGAATTGAATGAAAAATAGCTCCATTTTTAAAATGTGTACTATCATAAAGCCAGATTGTCGAAAGAATTCTACATTTTTCGTCAGAGTTGGACTTCAGGGAAGCAATTAACGATTTATACAGATTAAGGCCGTATACCCACAGAAATGTTCTTGTGTGGCACTTGTTAAAAGAGTCTATTGAATTGGAGAGGTTTGAAGGGGCTTATGTGCTGCTGCGCAAGATTACTGTATCTGTGTTTTCTTTACTATTGGGATCATAAGCTCTTTTTATGGTGGTCACGATGTTTACTTAATTTTCGTATAGATCTTTCTATTGGTTTCATATCGCCATCTGGCATGGCTTTAATGGAGAAATTAGTATGAGCGCCAGCGCCATTCCAAGGGCCTTCGAAAGCGACTACAATATTAAATTCTTCATAAATGTGTAGTAAAATGTAACGTGATATCAAGAGGTCATCTGTAGTTTTGACGCCAATGCTGGATCCTACTTCGTTTTTCTCTATTTTCTCTATGGCACTCGGCTTTATAAGTATCGCACGTCACGACAATGTCGTTTTCAACAGGCTTAAAATCATCTTTGTATATGGCTGGATAGTACTAAGGTTGTGTCCGAATTGTTGCACGAAACTTGACAGGTAGAATTGCCATTATACTATCATTTAAGTAAGTCCGCAGTACTTGACGGGATTTTGTCTACGATCCTTCAACCGAACATTCTCATCAGTGTCATCAGTTCATAAATAAGTCGCCTGGTATCGGTCGGCGAGTGTTTCCAGTTTGCGATACCTCTCTGTAATCGTTTTATGCAAGGCAGCATTGAGCGAGTTTTTCAAGAAATTACCCTGGCCCAGAACGGTAATAGTACTTATTACACGTAGTTGTTTGCCTAACAATGCAAATTCTTTGCCTAGGAGAAGATCAGCACATCTTAAGCGATTTTCTAATGTTTTTCGTATTTCTTGATTGGTTTAATATTAGCTTAAAACTACTCCAACGAAGATTAGTTTTAAAAGCTTTGGAAGGAATGCGTTTAAATAACGTCCAAGTTTTTAGTGATTTCCTGGAAGTAAAGATTTGTACTAACAAGATATTAAAATGTTATGTTTTTGCATGATTACGTGTCTTTTTAAATCATTTCACAGTTTTTATTTTTCACTTTATTCTTCTGATACGCGCACAAATATGCACTACCGACAATATGCTTTATGTTTTGTTTTTTTAATTTGCGATATGAATAGAAACTTTTGATTTTTTTTTACTAAACATCTTTTATAAAGTTCGAATATAGTTTTCCTATTTATTTTAGTTTTCTTAAGCTTTTATAGCTACATTTTTTTCATTAAACCTGCATTAAAAAAAATGAATGCCATATTCGCCACTCGCTCAAGTCTTGAGATGACAGAAAAGGCAAAAGAGCAAGCAAATATATCTCAGAATTTCTGAGAGGAAAATCCACTTTCTGGAAGTACCTTGCTGTACATTTTCATGAAAGGTGTTTTTGACTTTTCTGAGAGTAATTTCTGTCTCTTAAGCAAAGAGCAATTTTCTTTAACCATAAGTTCCGCAGCAAGCCCACACAAGCGAAGCATAAATTGTAAGAGAATCCGAAATTTGTTCACAAAAAACAGACGCTGAGAGTTAATTCGAATGTGAATAAGAGAGAGATAATATGATAAAAACAAGCTTGCACCTTACATTAATGGAGTAGATGAAAGGCACAAATGTTTTTTATTTTAAACAGTAGTAAAAATAATAATGCGTGCTGGTTTGCATCTCTTAAATTTCGCTTCAGCCTCTCTGCACATTGCTTTCACTCACCATTTTTGTTTATTTTGCTGCCACACAAGTTGGCAGGTAACTCATACTGGTTGATTGTAAGCAACAGAAAATTTCCCTCATTTCAATTTCAAGCAATGTTAAAATACTAAGTTTTACATTATAGCAATGTCCATATGTGCGTTGGTGTTGGTAAGTTTATACCGTTTTTTTCTTTTTTTTAATATTTCTGTTGAACTCACGCGCACCCAGCTTAGCTAAAATGTAGTGCGAGCACTGTCAGGATGTTGAGCCCACAGCAGCCCCGTTGGGTCCGCGGAATACAATTGGGACATTGATCTGCCCCCCGACATGTAGAATGTTTTAGCCGCTGAATTTATAACCTTGCATCAAATTGTTTAAAGATATAAAAATCGTAAAGTATTTAGAGATCTCAATTACAATCGTGCAATAATATATTTTATTTTTTTTCAGACGAAGGAACATATTGTGGAAAAGTATGGCGGTGAAGAACATTGAAGAACATTTGCAAGCACCACCTAAATCGCTAAATCGCTACTGTTGGCCCAAACCGAAGATTATATAGAATATTCGTGTAGCGGCAAAGGAATCGAAAAACCAAAAGCTCGTAGTATATAAGGATATTATGTTAGTAATATATTTATTTATTTATTAATTTATTTATTTATTCCACTTATACAAGAAACTCAACTAAAACAAAATGGCAGTCGAGTTCAATTGACTCTTAAGTAAATCTTAAAATTATTTAATAATAAAACTTAGTATAAGTACAATAAAACAAATAAGGAGGAAAAAAAAAAGAAAGAAAAAAAAAAAAAGCATGTACACAATTAGCATAGAGCCACGCCCACAACCGATACAGGACCAAATTGCAAGTGAACCCCTAAGCCATCGCAAACATGCATAAGCTTGGCAACCGATAATTGTTAACAACAAATTAATTTTCGACTCATAATGACAAAATCTAAGGTTAAATCAGTTTAAGTACGACACAGGTAAATCGCGCTTGTTGAGCAATATTGCTTTAATAGACTTTAAAGAGTCCGTTAATGAGAATAGATGATAGACATCATTTAGGTTCTTGCAAACAACTCTGAGCGGGTTAAACAGTTCAAAGTTATATTTGCATTGACTAAGCTTTATCAACATAAAGTACCTAGAGAAGCGGTTAGGGACATTAAAGCAAATCTCACGAAGTAATGCGGGCGAATCAATTGCACCATTTATTAATTTGATTAGGAAGGAAACCCCAAGAACAAATCTACGTTTCTCGAGTGACGGTAAGGATAACAGAAGCAACCTATTTTCATAGGGTGGAAGAGGGGAAATCGGGTCCCAACCCAAATTCCTAAGTGCAAACAGCAAGAATTGCTTTTGTATAGATTCAATTGAACCAACGTAGCATCTATATGAAGGAGACCACACAACAGAGGCATACTCAAGAATAGGTCTAACCAAACACGTGTAAAGCCTTTTAGTAATATAAGGATCATCAAGCTCTTTGGACCACCTCTTTATAAAACCAAGAGCGGACCTAGCTTTGCTTAACGAGGACTCAGTATGCAAATTGAAACGTAACCTATAATCGAATAGAACGCCTAAATCAATGAACGAATCGACGTCTTCCAACCTGTGCGAATCAATGAAGTATTGGGTACTAAACGACTTCCTTCTTAAGAAAGAAAGCTTCTTACATTTATTTCGATTTAGCTTCAGAAGATTGAGGGAGCACCATGCAACCAAATTGTTCAAATCACTTTGAAGATGATGTGATTGCGATTCTACGGAAAAAGAAGTAAACAGTTTCACATCATCAGCATACATTAAAATCTTACTGAATTTAATCACGGAGGGCAAATCATTGATGTAAAGATTAAATAAAATAGGTCCCAAGTGGCTACCTTGAGGTACGCCAGACGTCACGGGAAAATCATCCGAGGTAATGAGGTTAAACAAAACCCTGAATGATCTACCATACAGATAAGAGCTTAACCATTCAACTAAGAAGAGAGGAAAGCCAGAGGTCTGGATTTTAAATCTAAGAAGTCTATGATTAACCATATCAAACGCCTTGCTAAAGTCAGTGTAAATGACATCAGTGCGAGAACCACTAGAAAAAGCCTTGAAAACATGAGAAGTAAACTCCAACAGATTGGTCACCGTAGATCTTCCCTTTCGAAAACCATGCTGGAAAGGAGAAATATACAATTTCATGGAAAAGGCTATATGCTGAGCCACAATTCGCTCGAACAGTTTAGGTAAGACACTCAACTTGGCGATGCCTCTGTAGTTCTCTACAAGTTGCCTACTACCACTTTTGTGAATAGGAATAAGGAAAGAAGTCTTCCAACACAAAGGGAAAACACCTAAATTCAAAGACTTATTAAAAATCTTTGAGATAACATCACAAAGCTCGCCAGCACAAGATATAAGTACACATGAGGGGATGCCATCGGGTCCAGGCGAACAATTATATTTCAGAGAGTTCAATCCTTCAAAAACGTCATTTTCCGATATAACAAAGTTAGAAATTGAAACCGAATTAGAAATCGAATATGGATAATTTTCCGATAAATCAAAATTGGCAGTTGAAAAGTTCTGTCGGAAGTATTCCGCAAAGAGATTTGAGGATTCAAAATCATCCGAGGACTCGGAGCCATTAAAAGACACAAACGACGGGTTTATGGAGATTTTTCTTTTGGAATTAACGAACTTAAAAAAGTATTTAGGGTTAGCAAACAAGGAGGATTTAACAAACTGAAGGTATCTGCAGTAGTATTGGCGATTGAGGGAATTAAATTTATGCCTTGCAACAGAGTAAGCGAAATAGTCGAAAGAAGAACCACTTTTCGAAAATTTTTTGAACAACTTGTTTTTCCTATTCTTGTAGTATTTAATTGTCTTATTAAACCACGGGGGATCCTTACTTCGAGGACGGGACTGCTTGATCGGAACGGATGCAGAAATAGCTTGATTTAATACATTGTAGAACGACGACAGTAAGCTATCAATGCTTCCCTCTGAGAAATCGAGCACAAAATGAGAAAGATGAGATTTTAGTATGGAAACATTGATTTTATGGAAATCATAACGTTGATATGAAAAATTTGAATTTGGAACGTTATAGAGGTTCAACGAACCAACAGACTTGTAATGAAAGGAAACACCCAATGCTGGATGATATGGATCCTCAGGTAAACTAAACGGAAGACAACGATTAACGCAAACCTCAGGAAAATTTGCAAAGCAGAGATCAAGAAATCTCCCATTACAATTAGGGGTACCATTGTATTGAACTAAATTATTATCAAATAATTCATTGAAGAACACAACGGCTTTATCAGATGTTGAGGAAGGAATCAAACAGCCAGAACTATCACTGTAAAACCAATTGACTTGAGGCAAGTTGAAGTCACCCAACGCAAGGACTATATCGGTAGATTTAGATTGCTTGGCCACTTCACAAATGAGGGCGGCCTGTTTCTTATATACAGAGATATCCGAATTTGGGGGAATATAGGAGCAGGTAACATATAGGTGTTTGTTAGGAAATTTCACTCGAATGGCGATAAATTCAACATCGGGAGTAGTTGGAAATTCAAACGAATAGGTGGGGAGTGCCGTAGAAATAGCAATTAAAACACCACCACCATTGCGATACAAACGATCGTTTCTGAAAACTTGAAACGAATTATGGAAAAGTTCCGACGAATGTAGAACTGGCTTCAGCCATGTTTCA